CTCACTCCAGCTCTGCTTCTGACCCGACTCCTCCATGTGCTGACGATGACGTGCTTGGACTCCTGCCACCCATGTGGGAGACCCAAATGGGGAGTACCAGATTCTTCTTTTGACTTTAGCCTGGCCTAGCCTTGGCTGTTGCAGCTATTTGGGGAGTGGACCAGTGGACTGAATTGCTCTCTTGCACGAGCTCTCTCTCTCTCATCTCTGCCTTTCAAATAAATGAATTTTGAAAAGCCCTCTCTCATGCTCTGTGTCCAGGGGGTGATCTTCTGGGAAGGTTCCACCATGTTTTCTCCCCCTGCGTACCTGTCATGTTGCGTGGTGTCCCGGGGGAACATGCATGCAAGTGTGGGGTGGGTGCTTTGCGCTGGCTGGTGTCAAACTGCACAGGCCTTTGGGGGCTCGCTCTGCTAGGGTGGCTGGAAGGCAGAGAGCATGGTTGCACTTCTTATTTTCATGGAAGTTCCACAGATTATGCAGTCCCAGCAGCCCAGGCCTTGGTGGTGGTGGTGGTGGTGGGGAGTGGAGGGGGAGAAAAGGAATGGGTTTGGATTCAGTGGCCAGCTCTGGCTAAATAGATCCCTCAGCGCTTCTTCCTGTTTCCACCTACTGTGAACTGCAAGTCACCTGTCCCTGGCTCTTTCTGCTCTTCCAGGGGCTTCATCTCTCCCTCCCTTCCTTCCTGGATCTAGCAAGTCTAGGAAACAGTCTCATTCACCCATCTACCTATTCAACTATCCATCCATCCATCCATCCATCCATCCATCCATCCATCCATCCATCCATCCATCCACCCATTCATTCACCCATCCACCCACCCATCCATCCACCCAGTGTGGTGACAGTCGGGCAGCAAGCAGTGGTTAATTAAGGTCTGGACACTGTGATAGGGAGGCACAGGACGTAGTGGTTCCACAAAGTCCCTACATTGGCAGTTGTCAGGGCACACTACCTTTAGGACAGTGTGTTCTGGGTGACACAGGCAGGAATTCACCAGGGAAGGCGGGACTTGGGGGGAGGGCTAATCCTGGTGGAAGGCACAGCCTGGGTCAGGCTCCGAGGTGAGAGGCTTCCAGAGGACCCAGGGCACTGCCCAGAGCTTAAAGAGGTCCTGCAGTGGCATCAGAGGTAACGGTGGTCACTCCCACCTTCTCCACTTGCTTAAACTCCCTGTATTATGCCTTGCTGAACCCTTGTAGACACCCAACCCGCTTCCCAACAGGGAAGCAGAGGTCTGAAAGGGTAGGGAGGGACACTTCCTTGCCTTTTAGGACACAGGTGGAGGGAGCTGCGGGTGAGGTGGGTGCAGGACCCAGGCTGTCCTAGGATGGGTGGGGGACAGCCTTCCTTTGGGGCAAATAGCCTTGCTCTGCCAGGACTTCCTCCCAGAGCTCCCAGGGGCTGGGCAGGGAGGCCCCAGGAGGCCTCGCAGTGGGGGCGGGGCGTGGGAAGGCTACAAACTGGTTTGGGGCGGTCGGGCTTTCCTGTCGCTGCCGGTGGCCCCCGCCTTTGTCCTTCGGTGTCACTGAGGAATGCGGCAACAGAGTGGATAAAGGCAGCTTTGTCTGGACCCTCACGGAGGGGGAGCGGGGAGGATGGCAAGGGGCGCCCGGCCAGGAAAGGGTTACCCCTCCCTCCTGGCGGGGGGGCCCCAGCTATCCCCCAGCTGCAGGCTCCAGGCAGGAAACACCTCTGCCCCTTGGACACCCACATCCTCTGCTGTGACCTTCCTACACTTCCTGAGCTGAGCTTCATCGCCTCAGTTTGCTCATCTGGGTAATGGGAGTCAAAGGTCAACCTCCTGGGAGGGGTTTTAAGCTAAGTGGTCAGCAGAAGCAGGTCCGGTGTATTGAGGTGTGAGAAAGAGGCAGGAGAGAGAGAGAGAGAGAGAGAGAGAGAGAGAGAGAGAGAGAGAGAGAGAGAGCTTGTCGGAGGAGCTCACGCATCTTGGCCTTGGAAAGGATGATGCTGGCAGGTGGCTGCCAGGGTAAAGGGAAGAGAGGTGTCTGTGTGTCTGTTCAGGGTTGGGGTCCTAGGGTGGGCTTTGGCCTTGGCAAGAAGGAGTGGCAAGTGATCCCTTGCCTTGTGGAGTGGGCATTTGGGGGTGGCCGGGGCATTGCTGCCTCTCCCCACCAGGAGGCCCACGCCTTGGGGGCTTCATGATCTTGGGCGTGTCCTGGCTCTCTCTCTCTCCGTTGGCTCTCCTGTGAAATGGGCCAGCTCCTCTCAGGGTGCACGCTGTCCTGCCAAAGCCAGCATTTCTCGGGAGGATGAGTGAGACGTGCAACCGCTGTGCGAAGGCCACACCCAAGGTCACAGCCAGGCTGGCCCTGGGCTCCTCCCAGCTGTTCCTGCCCAGGAAGGAAGGGTGTGAGTCCTGGAGGGGGCTGCAGCCCCGGAGCGAGGCTGCTGAACCGCAAGAAAGGACTTAGGAAGTGGCCCAGTTCCAGACTGCGCCCTACCCGCCCAGGGATAAGGTGTCCTGTGTGTCTGGAGCTTGGGGACACAGGGCCCCTACCCTTAGCTCTCACAGAGGGCCGGCAATGGGTCCTCCATCACCCCAGGGGTGTACCCTTGCCTCCCTGTGGGGGAGGCTCCCTTCCCTATTCCCTTAAAGCGGCTAGTGGAGGCCAGTGTTTGCTGGTGGAGTGGGTCCCGACCTTTGGCTAGAAGAGAAAATAGAAGCTCAGAGAGGGAAAGTGATCGGCCCAAAGCCACACAGTAGGTGCAGCAGGAAAAACAATTCTCTCACTCCCTGAAGATGTTTCTGGATTCTGAGGGGCGTGCGCATGCATGTGTGTGTGTGTGTGTGTGTGTGTGTGTGTGTAGGTGGGGGGTTTGGGAGGATTGTGGGACTCTTAGCTGTGAGACAGGGTGGGGACAGGGCTGACTGGAGGCTGGAGGGTCCCAATGAAGGTGGGCAGGGGTGGAGGCTGAGGCCAGAGCTGAGTGGAAGCAGGGAGAAACAGGTGGGCAGCATGATCCGGGGCTCAAGAGAACAGCCGCTCTGATGCAGGCGGGCAAGGACGGGGCCAGGTGGGGCGAGTCAGAAATTGCCCAGGTGCCAGGCTGGGCTCCGAGAAGGCCCAGGATGCCCAGCACTGGCCATGAGATCCATCTATCTTCTTTTGGCTCCTCTGCATACATTCCTGTCCCACGGGACTTCCCTGATAAGACAGCGTGGGGTTCAGAGATGAAATGGCTGGGTGTGCCTGGATGGCCATGGTCTCCAATTTAAGGAGTTCAGCTTGCCTGGACAGAAGGCAAGAGGGGCAGGGCCCAGAGACTCCCATCTCCAGAGAGCTGGTCCTACAGATGTGGATGACATAAGCAGGGGGACATGTCCAATTCCAGTGTGGCTTCTATTCTGCTGTCCTCAAGGACTGATACTTCCGTTTAGGTGAGATACAGAAGGTCTTCCATCAGCTACTTCCCTCCTCAAATGGTCACAATGGCTGGAACTGAGCTCACCCAAAGCCAGGAGCCAGGAGCTTTTTCTGGGTTTCCCACTTGGGTGAAAGGATCCAAGACTTTGCGCCATCCTCGACTGCTTTCCCAGGCCACAAGCAGGGAGCTGGATGGGGGAAGTGGAACAGCTGGGACACGAACTGGCACCTAAATGGGATGCTGGCACCGCAGGGAAAAGGATTAGCCCGTTGAGCTACTGCACCAGTCTCCTTGGTCTCCGCCACCCCTCCCAACCCTGATCCCCTGCTCCAAACGGGAGCTTTGAGCTCAAGTACAGAGGCAGAAGTAGCATTGTCCCATGGGAGGATGCTAACCTGGGAGCTGTGCAACCACACAGCTCCTCTGTGCTCCTGGCCTGTCTGTGGAGACAGACGGGGGCTCAGAGCCCCACATGCCCTTCCTACAAGATGCAGCTTACCCCCACAGCCCCGCTCTGCCCCGCCAGTGTCTGATTCCTGAAGTGGTCGTAAAAAGTAAAACCACAGCCCCACGGTGCCTGCCGGCTTCTCAGGCCGTATTTTTGTTGGCCGCTAAGGAGTCTAATAAATGGCTTGCCACTGGACGTGATCATTAAGGGCTCCACTGAGCTGTGGGCAAGCGTTTCCTCCCTGCCTCAGTCGGGCCTGGGGCGCCCCGCCACGGAGGGTGGCAGTGATGGATGGCGTCATTGGGGGCTGGCCCTGGGGGCACTGAGGGTGCTGGGCAGCCATGGCTCTCGCTCCCGCAGGCTCCTGGGTGATTCGTTACAGGCAGGGGGAGCTGATGTGTGAAGATGATGGAAGTTTCCAGAAGGGGCACGAACGGGACTTATAGGGGGAGTGTGGGCTCAAGTAAAAGCAAAAACCAGCACTGGGTGGCCAGGAGAACATTGACGAATGGCCAATAATTGATGACAGGAAGATGGGATCATCTCAGTTTAATGCACATAGAAATGTACTTTAGAATTGTACCGTCGGTAAAGTAAGTTTCACATGTAACTAAAAATGGAGAGTTACGAAATAGGAGGTTGATTGCAAAACAGGTTCTCCATTTTCCAGCCTTCCCACTGCCTTGACCTTCTGCTATGTGGCTTTTCTGGTTCCTTCCCTTGAGAGGGTCTGCATCCCACCCTATCCATCAGGGACTCAGCCACGTGACTTGCCTTGGTCAATAGCATGAGGCCTGTGTCATTTGCCACCAGTCCTGAGTTCAGACTCAAGAGGCTTGGCAGGGTTCCTCTCACTCTCGGGGAACCCAGCTGTTGCCCTGGGAACAAGCTCCCGGACTGGTCAGCTGGCAACTGAGGGACCGTGTGGAGGCCAGCCACGCTCCAGCAGGTGAGAAGGCCCCGTTAGGTGTAAGTAGGTGTGCGGTTCATGAAGAACTTCTGTAACCTGTGGACACAAGAGCAGTGCCAACCAACTCTTTACTGCTCATGCTCTGAGTCCCATGGTGGTGTGTGACACAGCAGGTAGGGGACTGACACACGCCCTAACACCCCCAGTGCTGGTGACGGCCGCTAGGCCACCATGCTGGGCCCGATCTCAATTTATGTTTAGACATACTTATTTATATTTGAAAGGGAGAGAAGGAAAGACAGATCTTCCAGCTACTGGTACACTCCCCAAATGGCTGCAATGACTGGCTATTCTGAAGCCAGGACCTGGGAAACTTCTTCAGGGTCTCCCCCATGGATGCAGCGGCCCCGTCACCTTAGGTTATCTCCGGCTGCTTTCCCAGGCACATGAACAGGAAGCTGGATCAGAAATGGAGCAATGGGGGCTTGAACTGGGTGCCCCTCTTGGATGCTGGCGCTACAGGTGGAGGCTTAACATGCTTTACCACAATGCTTGCCCTGTCATTTCATTTCTTATAAAAATGATTGTTTCATATCTTTTATGTAAACCTGTGCAAAATATATATATGTGGGAGGAACTAGCCTAAAGTGCCTAGGTTTGTTCCTAATTGTGGGAGAGTGGAGCAGTTTGATCTTGTTACAAATGTGTTCCTAACTGAGTGCCTTTGATGCCGACTGTTTATGAAATGCACGCATCTGGGTCTCCTTTGGTCATCGTAAAGAGTGTGTGATAGGGGTACAGGACCCTTCCCACTTCACAGATAACAGCATTGGGAAGCTAATAGGAAAAGTACCTGACCTGTGGTTCTCCACTTAGCAACTCAGGCAGACACTGGAATGTGAACCGTCGCAGAACAAATCACGCACAAGCCGTCACACAGCAGAGATGACCACAGTCCCCAAAGACCCAGCCCTAACTCCCCAAGGCATCATACCCCATGAGGTCTCAGCTCTCCCCTCTTCTCCCACCTCCATGAGGCCCAGGACCGGTCTGCTACATGCTTGGTTGACTCCCAGCACCCTATGCAACACTTGGCACCCACAGTGGCTTGTGGAACCCAAGTGAATGAGTAGATGTGAGCAAAGGTGGAGCCGAGAAGACCAGAAACCTAAGGCCGAGGTGAGGCGGGGTCTGGAGACCGCTCTGGGGAGGCGGTGCTATGTGGGTGCTGGGCCTCCCTGGTCCACGGCCGGCCCCACCTGCCCCTTTGTTTTTGCCTCCTAACAAGAGTTTCTCTCACCACCTTTTTTGGCTGATGTCTTCATTGCGTTTTGCAGACCTGGATGTTGGGGGTGGGGAGTGGGAAGCCCTGAGAAATGAGCTCACCTTCCAGGCTCAGTTGAATTTTAGATTTAAAAAAAAAAAAATTTGATCATCTTTGTACTCTGATGAACAAAGAGCCATTCACTGTGGGAAATTTGACAAATATGCAGTGACCAGAAGCCGGATTCTGCCCCCACCTGTGTTTCCACCCTCAGAACCTGCAGGCCTGGGAGTGACTGCATGAGGATTGTCGCCCAGGGCACTCGTGTGCCCTTGTGTCTCTACCCAGTGGACTTCGTGCCCAAGTACCCTCTAGTGACTTCATGCTGTGTCAGCAAGAGGCCACGCGGACTGAGACACAACCGTGAGACGTCCAACATGGGGTCAGGTGTGCGGAGTGTCCCTGACAGCTGTAACCCATCCCAGACCCCTCATCTTGAGCCCCCTCTGCTCTGTGTCCATCTGCTTTGCTTACAGGGGAGGTGCACCCAGGGATTCCCCACCTTTAAAAAGTTTGACCCAGGGGCTTGCACTGTGGTGTGGTTGGTAAAACTGGACCTTATGAGCCTGGTATCTCATATGGGTGCCGGTTCGAATACTGGCTGTTCCACTTCCAATCCAGTTCCCTGCTAATGGGCCTGGAAAAACAACAGCAGATGGCCTCAATGTTTGGGCCCCTGCACCCACATGAGAGACTTGATGGAGTTTAAGGCTTCAGCGTGGCCCGGCCCTGGCTGTTTCAGACATTTGGGAAGCGAATCAGTGGATGCAAAATATCTCTCTGTCACTTTGTCTTTCAAATAAGTACATTTTTTTTAAAAAAAGATTGATGCAGTGCCAAAAGGCAGGTGCAATCTCTTTCAGTGCCTTTCAGTCAGATCAGGGGCACACCTGGGGCCAGGAGGCAGCTGCCCGTCTTCAGCTTTGATTGGAGGCTCATTAGCAGGTGCTGTCTGTCTGCCCCGCCCTGAGCAGCCAGCCCTGAGCAGCCAGCCCTGAACCTGACACAGTCTCTGCTTCTCCTGTAACAAAATCATGAACATGCAACACAGGACCACAGAGCCACAGCTTGCAACACATTGGCAAGAGAGGGAAGCACGCATGTGTGGGTGTCGGGGAGGACCCAGTGGGCTCCTGGCGGTGGCTTCTCTATGAGAGGTGACTGTGAGTCAAGGCCCAGGGGTTGGGAAGTGTGGTGCATAGGCCAAAGGGAGGGGCTAGGGCAGAGCCCCGACCTGGCAGATGGGAGCCAAGGGCAGACTACTGCAGTGAGAAGCCAGGAGAAGGAGGGGAGGGATGTCTTCCAGACGGGCTGGAGGCAGGCTGTGGCAGGTGCATGCCCTCCCCACTCTCGCCCCGCCCCTCTGTCCCAGGGCATCCCTGTGTACACACAGGGGAGAGGGATGGGTGGGGACTGAGCTCAGCCTCCAGCCATGGCCTTTGGTATGGGGACCGCCTGCCCTTGCTGTAGAAAGCTGGGAACAGCAAATCCCTTCCTGGGCCTGGCCAGGTCCCTGGTCACCCTGCATGGCTTCAGTGTCACCCCCTGTTCTAGGGTTGCTGCCAGAGCTGGCCATGCCCCGCCTTGCTCAGCCTGCCAATGACTCAATGTTGTGGTAGACACTCCTGCTGGATGACCCCCACAACAGGCACAAACCACGGGACTCCGGGCCAGGGGCCAAGGGCCAGGACTGCACCGAGCAGGGCTCCACACCAGACACCGTGGATGCTAGAGTCTTGCACCTGTGTGAGGGACCCGGCACAGCTCATGTGGCCCAGCTCTGAGCTCCCTCTGCTGCGCACTCTGCATTGAACAACTCTGAAAAGTGTTTTCAAGCCAATGGGAACAGCCATAGCCAAGTTCTAGGGGATAGTGTGCAAAATTGTGGCTGTTTCATCATCATCATCATCTTTTTCTTCTTCCTCTCCTATTTTTTTGGTAATTACTTTCTTGAGGTCTAATTCACATTCCATGGAACTCACCCATCCCAAGGTTTTGGGGATATTTAAGGGTTGTGCAGCCGTCACTGCAATAGTCTCAAACAGGACACTTGAATCCTCACCCACTCTCAGGTCCGTCATCTCCCATGCCCCTAGTGATCTACTTCTTGACCCTGTAGATGTATCTATTTAGGGAACTTCCCATAACTGGCTTCCTTTACTCCGTCAGGTTGTCAGGGTTCATCCAAGTCGTGGCATGTCTCAGTATGCCATTCTTTTTTTAGGGCTGAATAATGTTCCATAGTAGGGATGGACCATGGTGGCTTACCCACTCAGTCACTGATGCAAATAGGAAGTACCTCCCACAGTTTGGTTTCTGTGAACAGGGCTGCTATCCTGGGATGTCATGGGGGAACAGCTCCAGTGCGTGGGTCCCTGCACCCACGGGCGACACTAAAATGGAAATATTGGCTCCTGTCTTTGACTTGGCTGATCTCTGCTCGTTAAGGACATTTGGAGAGTGACCCAGTGCATGGCAGACTTGTCCTTCCTTCTCTCTCATAATTATCTTTCAAATAAACAAAATTGTCAAAAGCAGAGAATGCACAGGGCGGTAGGACGGCACAGGTGGCAGTGGGAGTTGTCCCCAGGAAGAATCACCATTGGTGGTTTGTGTAGACAGACATTTCCCTCTGTTCTGTATGGCTGTAGAGCAGAGGTTGGTAAATCCAATATAGAGGTGTAGGCATGGGATTCGGGCCTAATAATCCCTTCGTCCGGGTGGCAGATACATGAAGGAAAAGGAGAGAATACACCTGTTGTGTTGTCAGGGACAACCCTCCCTTAGTACCTACCCAAAACCCACACAGGAACACAGACCTACCCCACAACCCCTTGATTCATAAACCTGGCCCCTTACCCCCACCCGCCCCCAGGTATGGTTGTTATGGCAATGACATTTCAGTGTGGGTTTAGGGAGAGGTATTCACATCCAGATCAGGAATGGTATGCCTGGCAACAAGATCAGTTTGGGCATCAGCTGGGGGCATGCCTGCACCTCTTCCCTCTACCCTGCCAGCCAGGGCCTTCCAAAGCTACAGTCTTTCATGCAAATCATATGCAAATCTCCCCCTCCCATCAGCCCGGCGGCACCCAGAGGAGTGGGAAATATTCTCGATTGGGTCCTTGCCTTCATTAATGTCTGAGCCATAGTACATTACTCATGGATAATTAAGAGTGAGCTATTAATACAACATTTAATATTCAAGTGCAGCCAAGAGGAGAGAACTGTAAGTCACAGGCTCCTATGCGACAGGGCACTGCAGTTTAGCGATGATATATATATATTTTTTTCTGTCTTCCCCGCAGCCTTGGGACTGCTTGCATGGAAATGAGGGCCTGAGAACTTCATTTATTGAGAGACAATACGGAGAAGGTCTGCCATCACCAAGACATTGATTCAGACAGCCCCACGCATGAGGCTGGGCGGTCACTGGGGCCAGAAGGGATGCTGACACCACCGTAACACAGGTCTGGGGCCGAGGGACATCCTTATGGTTACTGGTGCCTGCATGGTGAGGTTGGGCACAGGGAGAGACAAAGGAAGAAAAGTGGAAATGTGTGGGTGTTTGTCCACACCTGAGGGGGGGCCGGGGATGGGGCATGGAAATGAACACAGGTCGCATTGCCCCAAGTCCCTCCCCTCGTGACCTTGACAATGAGACCCCACCCCCACCTGAGCCTCTCAGAGCTCCAAGAGGATGGAGAGAAGAAATGCCACACCTCTGAGCATGTGGGAGCCTGTTTCCCAAACCACGCAAATGGGCTTTTGGTGGAATGGTCTCCTGGGGCTCAGCTTCTTTTCCCTTGAGGGTGTGTGTGTGGGGGGGTGCCTTGTGAATGCCAGCAGTTGCAGGTCTCAGAGGGTCTTCTGATCGTGTGAGTGGGTGGCAGACCCGGGTCACATCTTGAGCCTGCTTCCCTAACTGGGTCCAACCTCCCTGGGGACCCCCTTCCCTGTCTGTGAAATGGGTACACCACCCGGCGCCAACTGTCTGGAAGCGGCATCTCGCATTATGAGTGCTCCAGGTATTCTGTCCTCCCTTTGCTTTGGGCTTTTGCTGCGAGGTTGGAGACCAAGGGTCTGTGGTAGAGGACCTTGGCCTGTGGGCAGCCATCAGGGGGGCCCAGGCTGCACGGCAATTCCATCCTCACATCCAGCCTGTGAGCTTTTCTCCCAACCCCCATTTTTACAGGCATGGTGGCAGGGAGAGCTTCAAGACAGCAAAGGACCTGCCCACACAGCTGCCCAGCAGAGTCTGGGTCCTGTGTTGAGCTCTCTGGTGTGGGGGCCCCAGTCGGGGGGGGGGGGAGCGGGGATCTTGGGGGGTTGCAGGTGGGGCTGAGCTGGGCTTGGAACTGGATGCTGCCAGTTCTACTTCCAGCATGGAGTTGCGTGGATCCTGTCTCCCCACCAGAGCCCTCATCTTGAGGTGGGAGCAGTGGAATTCAGATCAATGTGGTGGGGCAGATATCTCGGAGTGCTGGTTGAAGTCCTGGTCACTTTGCTTCCAGTCTAGCTTTCTGCTAGCATCCCTGGGATGTCGCAGGTAATGGTTCCAGGGCTTGGCGCCTGGTACTCCTATAGAAAGCTCAGACGGAGTTCTCGGCTCCTGCCTTCAGCCTGGTCCAGCCCTGGCTCTCTCTCTCTCCCTCCCCGCCTTGTCACTCCTCCTTTCAATTCACTCAATCTCTTAATAATTCAATGACCTCCAGGCTCCTCATGGGCTTGTAGGAATGATCGTCTCCTTGAGTTGTTCCTGGGCCCCTTTCACAGAAGGGAGAAGACCGAGGTGGGCAGAAAACAAGCAACCTTCATAGCTCTAACTAACCCAACTGATCCCGAAGCGATTGACCCCATCAACTAGTGATGTAATCTCAGGGAACGCAACACCACAACATCAGGCTACTCCTGAGCCCCTTCCCATCATCCTCAGACTCCAGGGTCTCTCCCATGGAGGAATGCCAAGAGCACATGACAGCCCTGCAGGGGCAGCCGCCGGTGATGAGAGCACGTGGCCATGGCTCTGCAGTCTCCTAGGGGACCGACTGCCTTTGGGCTTCCTCTGAGCTCCCTTCAATCACTCCATGGAGACTGCTCACAGATTATACCTATAGTTAGACCTCTCAACCCTTCCACCCTCCAACTCACACATCTACTTGTGGACCAAGAGTTGAAGCTCCCAAACTCAGGATGCACCGAGCCCTGACTCATAGCGGGGCTACAGCGGAAGATGGGTCCCCTAAGGAGACAACGAGGGGTCAGTGATAGTCCAAGAACAGGGCACAGATCTGTGAGAGTATCTTCACAAGAAGAGACCTCCCCGCCCCCCGGGCTTGTCCTTCGTCTCTGCATGTGCATGGAGTGGAGGGCTGTCTGAGAAGGCTGTCGTTTGCAAGCCTGCGAGACAGGAGTTGGCTGGAGGCTGGGAGCTGAGCATCTAGAATTAGGAGAGGCAAGAGAGAGTCCACCTTGCTGTCCAGGCCCCCAGGGCTGGAGGGGCTGCATTGTGGCCATGTGCTGGTGGCTGCCTGGGCTGCCTTCTCAGAGGCCGTTGGCTGAGCAGGTTCTGCAGGAAAACAGTCCGGGGGCCTGGAGTGGGGATTGGGGAGCATTAGGGCTGAATTTTGGGGAAGGTTGTCCCTGGTGTGGCTGGAGTTCACTTGGTTGAAAGGAGAGAGGGAGAGAGAGAGAGAGAGCAAGCACAGGAGCGGGCCTCCTCCTTCTTGTTAGAAAGTCATTCATCCCATCTTGAGGACTAACCACCTCTTAACAGCTTACCAAGGGGTGAGCTTGGACATATGAATTTTGGGGTACACAGATGTGCAATTCATCATGCAGCTGGAGCAATCTGACCGCCCTTCCTTCCTCCCTCCTGCTCTTCCTTTCATCCACCCATCCATCCAGTTTCCATCCCGCTCAGCCATTCGCTCATCTATTCTAAACAACCTTCCTCTCTCCCCCCCCCCGACCACGTCCTTCTCTCCCTTACTGCTTCCCTCCTCCTTCCTTCTTTCTGGTCTGCCTGCCTGCCCCGTTTATCCATTCCATCCATCCATCCTTCAATCCTCCCTCCCTCCTTTCTTTCGCCTCTCCACCCATCCCCCACCCTTCTGCTACTTCCTTCCTTCCTCCCACCCACCTGTCATCTGGCCTCCCAGGCACTGCTGGGTAAAATCACTGCTTCCCATCGGAGACACGCTCATGCTCTTCATCATTGGGTTATCCGATGACAGCAAAAGCCTGCGTTAGGACTCTTGGCCCGCGCGTGGTGTGTGTGTGTGTGTGTGTGTGTGAGACAGGAGGTGGGGGTGGTGGTTTGGGGGCTCGCTGGGACCCCTTCTGCAGGTCTCCCTTTCATGGCTCCTGACTGGTGGTTCTCACTCTGACTCAGCTGGCGCACACGGTGACCCTCAGTCCTCCCCAGCCCCAACTCACTGCCTACAGAATATCCATTTTATTTACACAAATAGCAGTAATTAAACCCCAACAGCCATCCAGATAACCCACGCTGTGGAGGCTAGCATGTCCTGGGGTGGGCGACGGGGTGGGGGTGGCTGTCCTGGAGAAGCCAGGTACCTGGGGAAGGGTCACCGCCCTCTCCCTTCCCCCCCAAAGGGAGGCCTGCATGGAATTCTCCACCACCCTCCCCGCCTGCTCCACCTCCACCCAGCCAGGGGCCCGCCTCCATGCAAATCAGCTGGGAGCCTCATTTGCATGTGCACCAGCGCATTTGCATATCCCCCAGCTCTGGGTGGCTGGGCTGCGGCAGGGATAGCTGACAGCAGCCCCTTTTGTCTTCTCAGAGCCATCCAGGGAGTTGTTCCATCCTTGGAATTGGGAGAGAGAGAGATGACAAAAAGATGAGGGAAGGGGGAATGCCCCTCAAGACAAAGAGATAGGCACCATCTGGGCGACAGGCAGGAGAAGCCTCTGTCTGGAGCTGGACCCCGAGGGGGTGGTGGGGGTGACAGAGGGACACGCCCCGGGGCCGCTGCGGGAGGACACCTCGGACGTATCAGGGTTGGCTGCCGGCCTGGCCTCCTCGGTGCTGGGCTCCTGGGCCAGGGGCATGGGTAAGGATGCTGGTGCCTCCATGTCCCCAGCTTGCTATGCCTGCTGCCTGGCACCCAAGCATCCTCTCTTGCCTGCTCTTCTGCTTGCTCTCACTCTGAGTGCTAGCAGCTGGCACTGCCCCGGTCCTCACTTCTTGCCTGTCCCCATTCTTCACCACTCCCAGCTGTCAGAGGTAGAAAGGAGTTGACCTCCAAGTTCTGGCCCTCTCATGCTGGGAGTAGCCAACAGCGACACGTGCCCACATGCACAGTGATGACGTGGAGGATGCCAATAGCAGTGAGGATGTGTGAGCAAGAACTGGACGCTGCACACAGCACTGCCCCACCCCTCTATGGTCTCTCTTGTTCTTGAGACCCTGCCGTGATGCCCATTTTACAGATGGGAACAATGGAGGCCGAAACCCATACCTCAGCTTGTGCTTTTACAGATTAGGCCCAAAGTCCCTGTCTATTCCCTCCCCTCCTCAGCCACCAGAGCCCCCTCTACCTTCACCCCCATGGTGGGAGGGGCTGCGTGCGGGCAGTGCCAGGCGACAGGGGGCCAGGCCCTGTCCTACCTTGGCAGGTTGTTCCCTGCCCAGTGAGTGCCTTGGTTTTGGCAGGAGGAACCTGGGTCTTGGTGGGCGAGAAGCTGGGGAGCCTCGGGGGCTACCTCCCTGGGGAAGGATGCAAATGTTTGATTTTGACCCTGTGACTTCCCTCAATCCTTGGTTCTGAGTCCCCTTTCAGATACTGCCCGTCCCCTGCTCGCCTCTACACCCCTAAATCTCTATCTTCCTCCTCTTCCTCTAGGGTCCTGGAGGAGGGAAGGTGGAAACGAGCCTTGACCTCAGCTCTGAGGTCAGCTCCTTGTTTTCACCTGCTTTGTGTGTGCACACGCGTGTGCATGTATGTGCATGCATGCCCGTGTTCATGTGTGTGCATGTCCCACCTTCCTGGAAGGAAACATGCTTCCATGCATGTATGTGTGAGAAGGCAGGAGTCCATGCGGGCTCTGAGTGTTCCACACCAGCGTTGGCTAACCAGATTCCTCCCTCGATTGGTGTGGGAGACCGTTAGGGAAATAAGCCTGCACCTCCTGCAGACAGGAGGAGATGTGTGTCCAGGTCCACTCCCACAAGGCCCTTCTCCTTGTCCAGGGAGAGAGTGCCACTGGACCCATGCTGTCCCCAGCTGGCTGGGGCCACTCCTGCTGTCCTCCGCCAGGTTGGCCTCGTGAGCTCCTCCCTGGGGTAAGGGGTCAGCAGGACGTACCCCTCTCTGTTACCCAGAGCGCTGGGCTGGGGGATCTGATGCTTTCACCCTGCCTGGCTCCCTCCAGAGATGTTTTTTGTTGTGTCCTGAAGTTCACATCGCAGCTCCAATTTTAGCCACGCGCAAAGCCTTGTGTAACCCTGGCTGATCCCTCCTCCCAGTCTTGGCTATTGGAGTGGATCTGGAAGCTGTGCATGGAGTCTCTTGGCACCAGAGAGAACCCCAGGGGTGCAGGAGCCCCCAGCTCTGTCACAGACCCCCTCTTGCACCCCCAGCACAAATATAATCTAGGTTCCCTCTTTAGGGAACCTGGCTGGCTCCATGCCTCTTCTGTCCAAGCTGGGGCCTGGATGAGAGCATTTAGCTAAGAGTTAGGAGGTGCGGGTATGGCTCCTGACTCTGCTGTGGGGTCCCTGTGTAAGATCCTAGGTCCCTGGGCGGGGGGCTCAGATTCCCCACTTAGCCCTTGCTGTCCACTGAGGCTGTTGCAAAGATGAAGTTGGAGGAGAAAGGCAGTCAGTGATTTGGGGTCACCTTTAGTCTCCTCGGATCATCTAGAAATCGCTGTTGATTTGTCTGTGGCCAGTGAGGCCACAGGGGATGTTTGGGGCAGGGGGAGGATCCCCAAGGGGGTCGGGTCCTGTCAGGCACCGAGATGGTGCTGAGCAGTAGGCAGCTGAGCAGGTGCCGCCTTCCTTGGGCAATCGAGTGAGGTCCACCCGAGGTCACAACGGCACCCCACTGCAAGCCAGCTGGATACACTTCTGGCTGCTGTGAGGACTGGGGCCCTGGCAGGTGCTACAGACCAACCACCATGTGCAAGTCATGCGTGTGTGTGCCCCGGAGACAGGGGATGGGGAGTGAGCACCCCGGGGCTGTGGAATTAAAGGAACATAGGCCGTGCTTGCTCCCTGGGAGGCTGGGGACGGGCAGCCCCCCGGGCCAGCTGGTCTCAGGAGAGGGAGGCGTATGAGAATCTGACACCCCATGCAGCTGCTCCTGTCACTCCTGAGGGATTTGGTGAGCTGGTGGGTGACCTGGCTGGGGACACGCTGTGCTGGGCAGCCTGGTGTGTGTGTGTGTGTGTGTGTGTGTGTGTGTGTGTGTGTGTGTGTGTGTGTAGTGGGTGGGGGCTGTCCTTGCATGTCCAGCCTTGCAAGACAGCAGTAGATGTGCTGCAGAGAGGGTCTTGTTAGATCTTTCCACTCACAGCCTTAATTGCTCGGCTTCTCCCAGAGTCCCCAAAATATAAGTTCCCAGAACCAGGCAGTACCAGTGGCCTCCCACCCCGAGCTGGGTCCCCACAGCCCAGCCACTGCTAAGACCGGATCTGTTTCCCTCCAAACTGACTCCTGAGGCCGTGCTCCTCCCTCTCTGCCCCCTTCCCTCTCCCCTCCACTTCACACCTGCTATAGCCTCTGCAAGCAGAACCCCCACTTCCTGGCTCGTTCCCATTAGCCCCTACTCCACCTGACGTCATCAGCAAGGCACCTGTAACCATGCCAGTCCTCTCTTTAAAACTTGCAGCTTTTCAATTTTTTTAAAAAATTATTTCTGATGACTTGAAACAGATCGGGGAGAGATATTTTTTTGATTGTTGGCTCTCTTTCCAAATGCCTGCAAAGACTAGGCTGACCCAAATTGATGCCAGGAGCTTGGAACTCCGTGGTGGCCAGGAATGAGTTTGGGTCGGGGGCAGGGGCAGATGGGGAGGGGGCGTGCCTTGCTTGGGTGACGAGGGACTCAACTACTTGAGCCATCACTTACTGAGCTCCAGGACTGCATGTGGGGAAGCTGGACTGGATGTGGAGTACTTGGGACTCCAACCTTGCTCTATGATGTGGCATCCCAAGCAGAGGCTTAACTCACTACACTGTGATACCTCTCCCCAAATCTGTGGCTTTCAGAAGAAATGCTAGTTCTGCCCCCCACGACCCCTCTTTCTTGCTCTCAGTCCCAGCACTTCCTTGGTGCCAGCCTTTCTGCTCTGAGACTACTCCACCCTGACGTCTGCTGGACCTTCTGCAACGGAAGTTTAGTTCTGGTCTCTTTGCAGTTCTTTCTTGCCATCATTATCTTGGCATTATGCTACAGGGACCTGTCCAGGGCAGCGTTGGGGTGGAGAGGGTATAGGGTGGTTGAAATGATGTGGGAGGGGAGAGGAGCACCCTGTGTCAACCATCTGCCATGTTGGCAACCATCAAACCATCTTCCTTTTCTCTTTCACTTCCTTCCTATACCTATCTACTTGCTTACTCATTCACCCACCCATCCATCCATCCATCCATCCAACCACCCACCATCCATCTATCCATCCAACCATCCATCCATCCAATTATCCATCCAACCATCCACCATCCATCCATCCATCCATCCATCCAACCACCCACCATCCATCCATCCATCCATCCATCCAACCACCCACCATCCATCCATCCATCCAACCATCCATCTATCCATCCAACCATCCATCCATCCAATTATCCATCCAACCATCCACCCACCCATCCATCCATCTATCCATCCATCCATCCATCCATCCATCCATCCATCCATCCATCCATCCATCCATTCAGGCCCTGGGTATTGAGTTATGAAAGGAGCAGGTTTCCTGACCTGGAACTCACATTTCCCTGAGCAGTGGGCTTTGTCTCAGAAAGCACAGGGGGCAATGAATGCTCCGGGGTGGGGGGGCACCAGACCCAGCCTGGAAAATCCAGGAAGAGCTCTTGGTGGGAGTGGAGTCTATGAACTCCAGGGTGGATGTCTGGGAGTTGGGTGTCGGGTGGGAACAAGGTGTGTCAGAGTTTGGATGTGGGAGGTTGAATGTGAAGAAGTGGCTAGAGTGTAGTGTGGGGGAGGGCAAAGGTGCAGAGGATGTCGGATGTCACTGGGCCTGGGGCCAGGGGAGCCATGGTGGTGGGCTTGGGGAGGGAGGAAGGAAGGGCTGCATAGTGGGGAGGGGTCTGAGAGGACACAGGGAGGGAGGAAGCTGTCCTGTCCTGGCTCGGCAGGGGTGGGGCAGGTTGGTGAGCTGGCCCTTACACCTCCAGGGATGCCGGATGGCACGGAGACAGGTGTTCTGCATTTGAGCTCCTCAGGCCACTTGGATTCAGAGGGGAAATTGCCTTCCTGTGGCAGCGATGAGGACCCCATCTCCTGCCCTCTTTCCTGGAGGTGTGGCTCTGCCTCAGTTTCCTCTCCCCCTCCAGAAAGGAGGGGCTGCCAGGTATGTGGGGGGTTACTGAGCCTTGAGGTGCAGCTGCAGCAGGGCCCTGAGGGGAGGCAGAGGCAGAAGGGGCCACCCTGTTGTCTCTCTGTCCAGCTCTGGGGGTGGCCCTGGGATCCTCAGGGCCAAGTCCCTCCCTTTCCTGTCCATGTTCCTCTCCTCTCTTTCCTCCTCCCTCTCGCCTTTGTGTACTTATTGAGCACCTACTGTGCTCCATTCATTCTGCACTTATTAAGCTCCCACTGTTTTCTATGCACTAGGAACTCAGCAGTGAAGAAATCTACTCTGAATCTGACTGTGGTACCTCAGGGAGCTTACAGCCCAGGAGGAAGAAGACCAAGGGTAAATAAAACGGGATGCAGTCCTGTACTCGTCAGAGGCGCAGGGAGTGGGGTGGAGGAGAAGCAGAGAGAGGCTTCATGAGAGCACCCAGGCGGGCAGGTTCCCAAGGAGCTTCTGGTGAACATCACCCTGGGTCTGACTTTCCCCTTTTCCCATCTCCGTGAGTTGCCACCCAAAGCTGCCGTGGCTGGTCTGACAGCTTTGCGCGTTCGCCGGGCTGGACGCCCACACCCTCCAGGTCTCTGGAGTGGCGGAGCTGTGCGGATACTTGGCACTCCTTGCTGCCTCTGTGCTGCTGGGCCGCGGGGTCCAGTGGTGAGGACCTTTCACCACTCATTGAGTCATCTTCCCAGGGATGGGCCGTGCTGTGGCTTGCAGCCTCTCTCTCTCCTCTCTCTCTCTCTCATCACCCAAGCTGCAGCAACTTTCTCCTCCCAGTTGATACCCCTGGCCCCCAGGGTTATCCCAAAGGAAGACTCTCAGGTTGCTCAATCAACGGCCTTGATAATGATGACGATGCTGTTGATGCAAATCCTGCCAGCACCTCCTCCTCCTCTTCCATGGGATAGGCCCCAGCATTGTTCTCAGATAACCCACACAAGTCTAGAAAACAGAGAGAGACCAAGTCTCCCCAAGGACACACAGCTACAAGGGAAACCTTGGAGGGCAAGTCTGGACCCTCGGAGGCACTGCCTAACATCTTCATCCGCCCTTCTCTGCTGTACCCCGAGAAGACTCCAAGCCATCCCTCCAACACCTCCAGGCGCTCCCTGCTGCTGAGTACCCATACTTGCTGCTCCCTAGGACTAGCATGCTTTTCCAGGCTTATCTCCAATATTACCTTTCCCAGAAACTTTTTTTGTTGTTGTTGTGTTTTGTTTGTTTTTCCTTCCCAGGGTTTCCTGCTTAGGATCATGTGGTCATGTGGGTGCCAGCTTCGTGGCTGGGGGGGCTACACCAAAGAAGGCCCTTGGTGGTGTGCTCCCCAACACTCTATATCCTGGGCACCTAGCATTGCACAGTATGCAGTAGGCTCTGAAGACAACATGTTCTCCCAGGGCCCTGATGTGTCCTGAGACTGGATGCCTCACTGGTGTGATCTCATTTCACCCCACCAATGAAGTCTTCTAGGGACTTATCAAGGATGCTTTCCAGAAGGGATTAGGACCTACCCATCATCACCCAGCAAGCTGGCAGCAGGCCAGGCCAGGGGCTCCCAGGCCAGGAGGGCCCTGGGCACATTGCTCCAGAACCTGTTGTCGCAGCAGGAGGAGCGGGGAGGACACACTTGAGATACCTCTCTGTCCAAGTCCGAAGATGTGACTGAGCAAGCGAATCGTCACAGAGCTCTGTGTGAGGCACATAGGGCCAGGCGAAGAGGCTGTCACTACGGCCGAAGGGCTCAAGGCAGAACCATTTTATTTTACCTTACTTTTTTTTTTTTAGGTCACCAGATTGGTGCTACCAGGTGGAGGAGGGGAAGCAGGCTGCAGCCGGGATGGTCAGCTGGCCAGGCCACAGGGGAGCTACGGGACCCCGGGAGCTGTCACCGCTGACTGATGGATGGGGACAGCTTCCAGTCACTGGCCAGCCCTGCCACGAGCCCTGTGGCCATCTCTGCGGCCAGCCGCCCACACTGGCCTCCCGGGGCCCCAGTGCCTCGCTTTGAACATCCATAAGGCCTTTTGTTCCCGCAGCAGGAGCCAGGCAGGCTGTGGTGGAGGGACCTCTTTTAGAGGAAGGAGTTTCCTGCTGAGGCCTCCCCCTGTCCCTGACCCCTGCTGTGTCCTTCTAATTACCTGTGGGCGGGAGGAGTGGACTGAGGGGTCCAGCTGGGCCCCTAGGAATCTTTTGGGGAGGGAGTCATGAGTTGATGGTGGTGGTGGTGGAGGCGGGAAATGTGGCCAGAAAAGTCTAGAATTCCAACCTTCAGACTCCAGGCTCCTTCACATTGCGGATTGCAAACCAAGGACCAGAGTGGGCGATTGCCTCATCTGAGGCCACACAGCAAGTTTGAAATGAGATTTGGACCAGACCCAGAGCATTCAGATGCCCCAAGGTGAGGGGGCAGGAAGGAAACTGGTGCTTTAACACCTTCTGTCTTCTTGCATCTGGCAAAGTTGTTTCTCACTTGTCAGCCAGGTCAAGTCCCTCTCCCATCCCAGGTTCATCTAGGAAAGATATTTTTATTAAAAAAAAATTTTTTTTTTGATTCACTTGAATGTTGTAGAGATCTTTCATTTGCTGATTCGTTCTCCAAATGGCTGTGATGGCTGGGGTTGGGCCAGGCTGAAGCCAGGAGCCTGGAACTCCAGCTGGGTCTCCCGTGTTGCAAAGCGCTTGAGCCATCATCTTCTGTTGTTTTCTTAGGTACGTCAGCAGGGAGCTGGAAGGGAAGTGGAGCTGCCAGGGGACTTGAACCGGCACTGCGACATGGAAGGGATGTTAATGTGGCTCAGTCACAACAGCCGAATCCACAGGGGCCGAGAGGCCAGAGCCGGGCATGTGGCTGCAGGTGGATGCGTGGGCGACCACAGCGCAGTGCCCGGCTCTGCTGCGGAAAGGCGTGTTCCGAGGTGAACGCACCTCGGCAAGGCGAGCTCGATCGACTTCAGACAGGCCTGGGTGGTTTGATCGCACGTAGGTGACACGCGGGCAAGGGCAGGCACCTTCATGGAGATGAAAAGGAAGCAGAGTCATCGTGAGCAGGGTGGGGGGACAGGGATGTTGAGAGTTCCGGCCCACTTACTGCTTGCTATTGCTTCACACACCCTGATTTTCTTCCGGAAACCCTGGAAGTTTGGGGAAATTGGTGGTGGAGATGGTTGGGTGACACTGTAAATTGCCCGCTTAAAACAAAAATATGAGCCTGGCGTGATAGCCCAGTGGCTGAAGTCCTTGACTTGGACGCACCAGGATCCCATATAGGCACCGGTTCTAATCCCAGCAGCCCCGCTTCCCATCCAGCTCCCTGCTTGTGGCCTGGGAAAGCAGTTGAGGACTAGCCAAGACCTTGGGATTCTGCACCTGCCTGGGAGACCCAGAAGAAGCTCCTGGCTCCTGGCTTCAGATTGGCTCAGCTGCAGCCATTGTGGCCGCTTGGGGAATGAATCAACGGATGGAAGGTTAAAAAAAAAAAAGTTTCAAGTGACAACTGCCACAATCAAGAGCACCCATGATGCAAAATCACACACACACACACACACACATCATGGGGTTGTCACTAAATGGGTAATTTATGTGGCATGTGAGCCCCCTACATGAATCACCAGGGCAGATGGGTGGGGGGCCTGAGGCCCTGGGGGAGATGACGATGGAGAGGCAGTGGGCAGCTGTCTGGTTCTTCAGCTCTTTTCCCAGAGCTGTCCAGCAAAATTCTAGCCTTGTTCCTAGATTGCCTGGCTGTGCACCCTTGGGAATGTCATATGACCTCTCTGAACTTGTGTCTCCCCAACTTTCTCGCAATTCTGTTTTCTGGGTTCAGGACCCGGGGCACTGTAGAGGATGATCCAGAGGTCCAGAGAGGGTGGGAGCCTGGCCCTGGGGTCCCCAGGAGCACCTGGCTGGGGGCAGCCCAGGATCTGCATGAGCCGAGGCTTGGCCTCAGCCTCTGTCTCCTGCTGGCCCCGCAGGCGCTCCCTAGCCAGCACCCCCCTCCCCTCTCTCCCCTTCGTTTGGAGTTGGTCACGGATTTTTGTTCCTTCTGCAAATGACCTCCATGTGTCAGAGATTGGGTTTCCCTTTGTCTGGGCCCGTCCCTCCCGGGAACCCAGGCCCCCCACGGCCGGTCGGCCTGTCGGATGCAGTCTGGGCGGGGCCTCCCTCAGCAGCTTGGGTTGGCTCCTGCTGACCCAGAGATGGGGCCCCCGGGCCGAAGGGGGGGCGGTCTGGGCATCTGGTTTAGCCATCAGCGCAGGGGCTTGTTTAGCTTTTAATGACCCATGGAGCCCCCGACAGAGGGAGAGCGGTTGGACTGGCAAGCACGGGCGTGGGGGGCGGGGAGGCAGCAGAGAGCAGGAACGGAGCAAACACCCAAGCAGGCACACGCATATCCTTGTGTGTGTGTGTACATCCATATATACCTGTGTGTGCACAAAACACACACACAAACACACACACCTGCCACGTGTGCAAATACACACCCATGAATGCATGCAAGAGTATCCACCATAATACAGACCCATGCCCTCATATACACCATGTATGCACACACATCCTTATGCAGGCACAATGCACACCCATGAATGTATACACACACACCATACATATACACATGCACTCATATACACACATCCGTGCACTCAAGCACACAGCATGCGTACCTCCCCCCACACACAGGCACCCACCACGCATAAATGTGCATATTCCTGCACTCAGGCACACAGACAAGCCCACGAGAGCTGTGCTCACACGCACACACACACCATGCTTGAACACATGCACGCACACCACACACAAGGCATGTATCCTCCCCCGCGTCCCCACGCACACAGATGGAAACACCGTCTCTCACATGTGAGTCTGTAGCCCTCGGCGCCCCTCAGCTGCAGCTGGCCAGACATCCTGCTCTGCCTCTCCGCGGAGGGTGCCCTGTGTGATCCAACTGCTTGGCCATGGCCTTGACCTTGGCTGAGCCCCGTGGTGTCTTCAGGCTTCCTGGAATCCTTCTCTGGCCAAGGCTTCCTCCCACCTTAGACCTGGGGGGTTGTCGGTACACTTGCGCTCGGCCGCTGTCTGCGTGTCCTGTGATCCCAGTAGAGTCCATATGCCTCCCTAGGGTGTCCCATCGAGAGGTGACATGGCTCCTCCAGACCCACTTGATTCTCAGCACCCTAATGTGATTGCCCCCCCTTCAGTGGCTGGGAAAGCGTGACTCAGAAAGGGTTGGTGAGTAGCCATAGGGCACCCAGCAGGTCAGCAGAATCCACATTGGCCAAGCATGCCAGCTTGGGAGCAGGTGGGCTCATGCCTACTACCCCTGGGAGCACGGCCAGCTGCTTCTTTCCCTTTAACTGTCAGCCAGACCAAGGGTGTATCTGCTGAGCCTGCCCTCCGTGCTGGGAGGCCACCTCAGTGGGACAAGGGGCTCCTCCTTCTCAGAAGCAGAAATGAGGTTCAAGTAGGTGAGTGGCTTTCTAGGGGGGGACATGGCCAGGCTGGGGCGGGGCTGGTTGGGCTCTGGATCCCTAGGTTCAGGCCACCGGGCTAGGCTTCTGGACCCGAACCAGACAACTGACTTTGGGGGTCCCTCACGTGGGAGGGGGATGGGGCAGTATAACACTCACCGGGGACGTTGAGGCTCCTTGGATCTTCTTGCCCACCTGCCAAATCAGGTGCCAGTTGCACTGTGTGCGTCTGGCAGGTGTGCCTTCAGTTCCTGGTTGGTGGGCAGCCACACAACTGGCGTCAGGGCTGGGATAGGTGGCCTGGTGTGTCCCAAGGCTAGGGAGAGGTCACCCATTACCAATGTCCCAATGACCACACGATGGGGCCGGCAGTTGACTGGGCATGACTTTTTGGCAGTGTGCACTGGGGCTGCCTCTTGAGTAAAAACTGAATCCACTGTCATCACAAGGACATTTGGCATGAGTCAGACCATTACACTGACCTCTTCCAACCTCAGTTTCTGCATCTGTGGGATGGGGCTGACGGCACCCATCTTTTGATAGAGTGGCAACCTGTCAAGTAGACAGGCGTGGCTCAGGAGGGTCCATGCAGCCTGCTTACTCCTCTGTGACAGCAGGACCCCAGCCTTTTGCCCATGCCCAGGGAGCAGGCGGGGACAAGAGGGTACACGCAGTAGGTGATACAGAGTTTGCCTGCCGAGGGCCAGACTGGCCGATCTCCATCTGGGCTGAAAATACTTGTGCAAATCCCCCTTGTAAACCACCCAGCCTCCTCCCGTTCAGCTTCCCATGCCAGAGGTTAAAATAAGAGCTGAGGACAGCAGGGGTCTGTCCCCAGCTGCCACCAACCTGGTCAGTCCCTCCCTGCCCCCGGTGTCCTGCTGTTGGTGGTGGTGAAGGGTTGGGAGGGGATCAGGTCTATATTTCTGGCATGGATGGATTCTGAAGTCATCAGCAGCGGGCCGATGCCAGTGCAGGCTGAGCCACCTCCAAAGCCCTGGGCAGCCATGGAGAAGGCAGAGAGGCAGGGCACAGGGACTCAGCCTTTCCAAAAAAGCTGTGGGCCCTGGGTGAGTGGAGAGAGATTCTCCCATCACCCTTTCGGGGAGCAGGCTGGGCTCCATCTGAGCTTTCTGTCTGAATCAATGCCCTCCCCAGGATGGGCCGCTGCAGGGCTCAGCCACCTTGGAGTGATCACATTGATGCAGGAGTGACATGAAGGCACGGGTGACTTTCCACCTTGACCTCCCAAGGGCTGGGCACTCGTGCCACACTGTCACTCCTACTTCGCCATAGTCCCCATGTGCCTCTTGCTGCACTCCACACTGTTTTCCAGCACCCCCCTGAACATTGGCACATGCCCTTCCTTGTACCTGACATAGCCCCTGCTCGGCCCTGGCCAGGCCCACCACTGCGTCTTGGCTCTACTGCCTGGGCTCTGAGAGTCCCTGGTCTTCTCCGTGATGTCTCAAGTTCCCACCCAAGCCGTGGCTCCTCCGGCCAGGGTGTGTGATGACGTCATCTTTGTTTTCCCCTCCTTCTTTCTTCTCTTTGTTCCTGTTGGACCGACAGCAGGGATTATATGGAGAGAGCTTCCCTCTATCACTTCACTCCCCAAAGGCCCCCTTCCTCTAACAGCCAGGGCAGTGCCAGGCTAAATCCAGGAGCCAGGATTTCCGTCCAGGTTTCCCATGTGGGTGGCACTTGGGCTCACACAAAATCT